GCGAATAGAAATGTAACTAGAGTACGCCTTTCATCCTCTACATGAGAATCATCCTACTTGCGAACGATTAATGGTAAAGCAAAAGCAACATATTATATTAGGGATAAGCAATCAAATTAGAGATTAATTAAGCACTATAAATCACAAAATGACTTCCCAAATATCCAAAATATTTAGGAGTTATGTACTTGCCATGATTAAATCTAAAAATCAATATTTTTAAAACTTCTATAGCACTAACTCTGAAAAAAAAATAAAAAAGACATTAAAAATCTCAAAATACTAAATTATGTGTTTCACATATGTTTATTTTGTTTATCACATATTTTGAACTTATATATAGAAATACAATAAATTTTAGTTGGATTAATCGAAAAACAATTATGATAGAAATATAGTATTTTTATCTATAATAGGAGAATTAATCCAACAAAGATAGAAATATTGGTAATGCGTAATCAAAGGCATCAATGACCAGTAATGAGTAATTAAAGTCAATAAAAAAGTAATAGAACTAATCCAACAAAAATAGGAAAAGATTAAGCTAGGATAGACCTACACAATCACTTTTGTATAAATTAGAAACTAACAGAACTCATCGTCTTGGTGAAGTAATGGTAGGTGAATTAATAGAATTTGAAGAATTTAGGCAGAGAAATTCCATGACATCTTAATCTATCAGATATAATTATATTTAATCTAGCAATCCGGTTGTTCCTAGCTTGATTAAAATAAACATTTTGATTTTTTTTCTCGTTACTTTTGATATGCTGAATAGGGACTAAATATTGCCTTAATCTATTCAATCTTAATTTTTCTAATCTTCTAATCCTATTTTGACTTATTATTCATTATAAACCATAGTATACAAATGCAAAACTAAAATCTAAACAAAAGAGACAACACAACTTTATATATAAAATTATTAATCCTCCTAGAGCAAAGAAAACCAAAGAAGATTGTAAATATCAACAAAAACCGTAGTGAAAAAACATTAATCATATTGATTCACATTTAAGATAGAGTATCAAATGCAAATAACGATACATATGTAACCAAAAATATTTATAAGATAAAATATTAATATAAAAACAATAAAATGAATCAAAAAATTTAAGAAATTATCATCAGTTGATTGAAAATGGCTAAACTATTGAGAGACCTTTATTCTCAAATTCAACTTTCTCACAATGAATGAGCTGTCTAAAATAGAAATTGCATCAGCAAAAAATATAAGTGATTTTTGTTGAAGTGGTAACTATTAGATTAAGAAAATAAAATTGATTTTTAAAAATAATAAATAAGTAAATATACAGTGATATAAAAGCAAAATTTTGGTAACTTACTAGAATCAAAACAATCAAAACAACAACAAACTTCAATTTCCTAAAAAATAAAACAAAGGCATTAATACCAATTACTTGAAAATGCATGAAAATAACAAGTTTGGCTTGCAAAATGTTCGTCGCAGAAGCTGGTGGTGGAACGACTACCTGTTGTTGCTGCACGGCTATTGTATGGACGGTGATAACTCAAGATACCTACCCTGGCACTTCTTCCTTTCCCTATATTAAGGATAAGTTGAGGGTTGAGAATAATTAATATGCAAGGCTGATGCAATTGATTCATGGACTAAATTTCTCTGGATGTTCTTTGTTTTTTTTTTTCTTTCCTTTATTATTATTACTTTTTTACTTCTCCCTACTAACTTCTCCACTTCTGCCCATGTCTAGATATTTCGACTGTTTTTTATTTTAATAAGGAAACAGCAGAATGATGAGTAAATCAAATAAACTGAAACAGTCTAATTTATTTTTTAGGTCTAGTAACTTAAGCTTCATTAATTTTTTATTAATTAACGATGGCAACATAGTAATTTTATAAATTAGACACCTACCGAGAGAAGATTCTTTAGGAGACTTTTTTTATGCTATGGTATAGACTATATATAATAGATTATAAATAAATCATAGATTATAGAGTATAGACTAGTTATTTATCCGTGCAAATTTAGTTTTATCTACCTAAATATGTGTGGGCGCACACTAATTCATATTTTTCACACACACAAATACATATATATATATATATATATATCCAGATTTTTTTAAATTTACAGTACCAAGCAAGAAACCAATCTAAATTATATCCGACTAACAAATCATTGCAAATTTGATAGGTTACAATTTTGCCAAAGAAGGGCCACATAATGAATGAAATTTTAAAGGTGCCAAAGTAAGAATTTAGTTAGGGATGATAATGGATAGTTAATAATCAAATATTTTATATTATTTGATATATTTATATTGGATTGAGATATTTATAAATTAATAACTAATGAATTTAAAAATTATATTTATTATCTGTAACGAATTTAGATATAATTCATATAATACTTTTTTGATATTCAATATCTAAATTTGTTTAAATTTTAATAAATAATATTATATATCTAAATTCACATAAAAAATTATTATTTATTTACATATGCAAAATATATAAATTTTACGTTTGTAAAAAGTTTCAAATCTTAAAAAATAATCTTTATTTATTATTAATTAAAAGTAAATTAAAAAAATGGGATATAAATATCTTTAAAATAATGAATATTCGCTTCATTACCATTTTTAATTTTAATCTTTCTTTTGTTGGAAAAACTATTTAGCCGAAGCTAACCATTTCAAGTGCCTAAGGAATTCTTGCTACTTTTGGTGATAATTTGTACTAAATTTGTTACCGTTCAAAGTGAAATTTAAAAGAAAAGAATAATATTTTGAAGGAAAGTGAAACGTAGTTAGACGTCCTAAATTGCTATAAAGAGACATTTGTAACTTTTTATGTTATTGTCAAGCTACTACCTCTTATGTATCATAAAAAAACACTACACAAGCAGCTCGTGACCAGATTGCTTCGTTTCTTAAATTTAAAAGTATCAAAACATTTAATTTTTCTTTAAATTTTTTATGCTACATTTATCGTTATTTCAATCTTTCCATATTTCCATATTTTTATATTTTAATTTTGATTTAATTATTTTTAATAAAGAATTTTATGAACATAATCTAAAAAATCATTTAAATTTAGAAATTTTCTTTTTATAATTAGATTTTTACGATTTTACTCAGTCCTTTTAGTAATAACTTTCTTTTTTTTTTTTTTTCTCATTTCAGCATTTACCCTTAATTCGATGTTATTCTTTTTGGAAACTTTCTCACAAAATTTTTATTTAAATTTATCTGGTATTTTTTAAAAAAATAACATAATCATCAAATTTAAAATTAAATCAAATAATTTTGAACACAATTCGCTACCTCTAAATCTATCTATGAGCTAAGCTATCTGTCATGCTTGTAAGTCTGGTTCGATCTAACTCGAGCTTTGGATAAGAACTTTCAAGCTGACTCAATTTGTGAAAGTATTCTATTATCAAATAAATAATTTTTATTTAATTTTAATTTAAATATATATATTTTTAATAAAAATATTAAAATATTAATATAAAATTAATTTTTAATACCTTAATAAATTTAAACTAAATTTGCCTAAATGATGTACAATGGACGGACTTTGTTCAAAAAATTTAAGGTGTCACGCCGGTAGTATGGACACCTCTAGCTACCATGATATTGACTTAATCTGGTTAGGATTTTGTAAAATTGTTTCGAGTATGACACATTTATACACATTTAAGTAATCGTATGAACATATTTTTTTTATTACTCAACAAATGTAATCCATTTAAATTTATTGATTAAATGAGTTTGAATATATTTAATATTTAAAATAATTTTTATTTTTGTTTAAGTATATTAATCATGTTTGAATAGATTAATCGTGTATTAACCTTATTTAAGTGTATTTTGTTGTGTGATAAACTTGTTGTGCTCATGTTTGTATTTATATATTATACCCTTGCTTTTACAAACTACATGATTAAGACCTGTTAACACAAATTGCTAGTCCTATAGGAAATCATAACACTTGTTTCATACAATATTGGAAAAAAAAAAAAAAACGACACACACACATATACATTACAAAAAAAGTAGGTAAAAATATATGCAATAATTTAATTACTAGGGTGATTTACTCTTTTTAGATGTAACCAAAACAATCCAAACTCAAAAACTCATTCAAAGAAGCTCAAACTCAAACCACCAAACTTGAATTGATCAAAATTTTAAAAAAGTGGTGGTTGAAATAACTCGAATCTCAAACACTTTAAATATAAAATAATCCAAATTTTGTTGAAATAATTTTTTTATTAGTTTATTTAATTAGTATTTATTTCATTAATATTTTTAGATAAACTAAGGTCGAGCTTATTAAATAAATCATTTAAATTTTAAATAATTTAAACAAGTTTCCATACTTTAATATTTAAATAAATATTCTTATTTAACTTTTTATGTATGTATATGAGGATTTTATATTATTTCTTTAGTTATATCCCATTTGGAGCTTGCAGTCTCGAAAGAACAGGAGTTTCATCTTTGGTAAGAGAAATAACGATCATACTCACTTTGGTAGCTGAGCGGGCCATTTCCAATGATGGAATATTTCTTTTCTCGAATGAAGGGAGATTTTTATAGGAGGTTTTATGAGTATCGGTGGAAATTAAAAACCCACTTTTTTATAGAATAGATGCATGCATTTACATCAAATTAATTTGCAATGAGTCTCTTTATTTTCAGGGAATCTCATCTAAAAATTAATGGAGTTTTACTCTATATGAGATTGAAGAATAATCCATTTCCACTACACTTATAATTGATGCTTTTTTTTTTAGCCTTTCTCATGAAATTGATAGGCATTTCATGGACTGCTATTTCATATAAACTGTTTTTAAGTTCAAAACCAATTTCATCATTCAATCAATCAAGCATTTTGATTCAATGATTTATGTACGTATTTTATATATAAAAAGTTCAAATTCTTCTAAAAAAAAACAATCTCACTCAATCAATTTATCAAATTAATAATCCAAATCAAACCTCTATGGGAAAAAAATTATGGAAAAAACTTTTTTTCTTTTAATTGGATATATGATTAGATCAACAATAAGATCATCACAACATCACCAATAAGCTAAACAATTTTATTAGAAATTGGAAACAATTGAGCTAAATTAAGCTTTTTTCTCCTTCGTTGGTGGTGGAGAAAGCAGGAATCTGAAAACCCAAGCAGCCAAAGTTGCCCCAATCAAAGGGCCAATCCAATAAACATAATAAAGTTCCCAAGAATTATGCCAATTGTTAACATACGCCCATCCAAAAGCATTGGCAGGATTGATGGAAGGTCCAGTGTATTTGGAACCTGCACTGACCAATCCCACAGTTGATAAAGCCATTAACCAAAGCTTAAGCAATGGGTTTTTAGGACCCCTAAACAGAATCATAAGGAGAGCAAGGCTAAGCCCAAAAGTCAACAGCCCTTCAGCTATAGCCCCAGTATGTAAATCCACTTTCAGGGAAGGTCCTTTCATGATTTTCCTATATTCCCCTGGAATCACTCCCAAAATGGCCTTGACACCTGCAACTCCACCAGCAGCCTGAGCAGGGAAACGTACGGCCATGGAAAGGAGGGAGGAGTCTTTACTGAGACCGGCAGCGTAGAAAGTGAGAGAAGCTGTGGGGTTGAAGCTGGCACCACCAAAAGCGTCTCCAATCAAGGTGAAGATAGACACCAGAGCACTGATCAAACTTGTGGTGATGAAGAGAGCAGCCAAAGGCAGGGCTTGAACACCGAGGAAAGTGGCTATTTTGCCTGTGAAAATCCTTAGCAGTGGCATGCTAAACACCCACATCGATGTTAACAGGGCATCTCCTATGGAAGTCTTTATCACTCCCATCTTTAGTGTTTCTTCTCTCAGTTTTGGCGTGGAAGAGCCTCAGAATTAGACTCAAGGCTCTCCGCTTTGGCTTTTTTTTGCCCTTTATTCTATTTTTTCTGTTGGCTTGTGAATGGAGCATTTCTGAAAACAAACAAATACCAAGATACCAACTACTCACGTTGCCTTGTGGATGGTAGTGATTTCATGTGCGTCTCACCTAACTAAATGCTACTAATAAATTCTACATATATATATATATATATTTGAAAATGTACATATATATAATTTTATCTATATTTAAAAATTATGAAAATATTTAATTTTTAAACTTCGAACGCAGGATAATTGACACATAATTTATAAAATAATAATCCAAAAAAATTATCATCCTATTCATTTATTATTTTTTTAAAAAAATTACAAATACATAAAAATTTACAATTATAATATAATATTACATAATAATTAATTGAATAATCAGTTATTATATGATAATCAAATTATAAGTACTGAATAATCAATTAGCAACTTAGAATATAATTAGATAATTAAAATTATACATAATGAAATTTAAACTTAAAATTTTAGGATTCTAAAATTTTAATTTTACAAATGATATTAAAATATTAATAAATGTTTTAGTAAATTATAAATTAAAAAATTAATAGATTAATATAATAATTAAATGTACATATGCTTGATTTATTTGTGAAATTTTAAAATGAGAAAGACTACTAAATATTAAAAAAGGGAAAAGCGTGTGAAGAAGAAAGTAGTTTGAACCAACTGCCAAACCCAAATAAAGTAATAACATGTAAGCATCAAAATGCCCAAAACGAAAGAAGGGGTATTGAGATGAGGACGATCCAATTAATCTTTCACTTTATAATAGATATAGGGTATACGAGTAACAATGCCTGTTGTTTCAAGAATTTCAATGGCAAGTTTAACTTTAAACATTTTACTTCAAAAATTATATTTATTAAAAAAATAATAATACCCATTTATTTTTTAAAATTTTATGTTTTACATGATAAAATATTATTATATGTTGAAATGCAATAAAAAGATATTTAATTAATTGATTTGTCAAAATATTTCATTTAAATTTTATTTTTTAATATCCCCTTGATCTAGCCACACTAAAAATGGAAATTCACTTGAGTTTTTTGTTCAACCATCCATGCATAAAACAGAAATTAAATAAACATATGCCCTTCAAAAAGACTAGAAAAGTTCAAAGGTATTAATAAATTTTAAAAATTTGATGACCTAATATTCTTCACCGTTAGACTCATCAATCAACATCATTTTTTTAAAAAACTTTTACTCTGTAAATATGATGATAGACTCTTGATTTCTGCCCTTTAGATTGAATTCAAACATTACATTAAAATATTTGATTTAATAATTGATACATTTTTTTAAAAAAATATGAATTAAATTCCACAGTCTCAACATATTAAAAAAAAATGGAGCTCGAATGTTCTTTCACCCCATAAAAAAATGTCTCGCATCACATAGATACATAAACACGCTTATGGTTTCTGGGCATTGTTTATTCGGGTATATATGGGGACAGGGACGTATATGGCAGCTCCCCAATTTGGATTCGAGAAATCAGAAGGAAAGGAGACGTTCCATGTGATTCAACTAATAATTTTCTTCTAGTTAACTGATGTATGTATACATATTTGGAACAATTCTAGGAGACTTAACTGTGTTATCAATGGTCCACTTGTTAAAATGTAGTTTTCTTTTTTTGAACATAAGATTAGAAAAAAAAAATTAAGCTTTTAATCAACAATGCGTGCGAGGTCTACTAGTATTAGATCTGATCATTCTAAACAAGGTATGGTGACCAACATAATCATAATGACGTGAACCAAAAAAAATGTTTCAATAATACAATTTATACCTAATTTATATTGTTTAAAATTTTTACAAAATTTGTATATAGATTTGATAAAAATAAAAATATATATTTTATATTTAACAAATTGACATAAATTTGATTTAGTAATTTTTCATATTTTATAAGTGTTTGAGAAAATAAAAATATGATATAAATATATAAATTATCTAATCTAGAGAATACTAAAATCTTTAATTCAAATAATTAAGATTAATTCTTAACAATTTCAAATAACAAGAAAAAATCAAAATTTTATCATTTGGTTGCAATTTCATTCCAAAATTTTCATTCCAAATTGGAAACCTCTGGAATAAGTTTTACATTTTAAAAAAAATAAATTTACGTGAACACGTAAAAAAATCTTTATTTAATTAATTTAATGTCTTTTTTTTTTTTCTATTTTCAATTACAGATTTCGTTTTTATAGTTAATACTTTATCCACAAACAGACAGATTTTAAATTGTTTGCTTTGGATATGGAAACTTTATGCTGATGTCATCAAAATTGTAATCTCAAGATTTTCTCAATCCTCATTTCTAAAATGCCATTGATCATAACAAGACTACTTTTGGACCACCACAAATATTTTCTTTTCTTACTAGGAATTGAAGTCCGACTTCGTCTGATTTATTATGTTAATTTATAGTATTTTATTAAATTAATATTTGATTAAGGTAAAAGTTAACGTAATATATGTAATTAACTATAAGCATTGCTAATGCCATTCCTACCCTTTGTTCTGTTTAATTTATCTTAAATAGCATATGAAAGGATTTAATACCTTAAGAACATCACTGTAGCCGTCAAAGAGACACCAGCAATGGAATTGAAGTTGGGAAGGTGACATAGCACAAAGTGAACAAATGCAAAAAATTATAATGAAATATGTTTGTTTTATCTATTTGCAATTGCTGTTGGAGATAGTGTCATGGAACTTCTTCGATGATTGTCCTTCAATAACCATATAAATTATGCAGACACCAACCGAAAAAGAAATTAGGAGACAATTTTACAATCATACATTTACAACTCTATAATTTCATTTGAAGTAACTTCTATAATTGCCAAGATATCCTTCTAATGTTTGAAGAAATAATGATGTCTTAAAACTTGATTTCAAAGTCATAATGTACTTACTGTTAAGTAAATAAGGACAATTTAATGCCACACCATTGAGTTGTTGTAGGCGTCAATTACTAAGTCAAGTTGAATCCAAGTATTTATTGCTTAAGGATATTCACCATCTTTGAGTTGCACTTAAGCATATATGAAGCATAATAATACATGTTGATTACTCCAATATCAAATTCATTTGAACAACTAACAAACAATAAATCGATAATGCATTCACAATTATTGTTTGTAACTCATAAATATAAATAGTTTCCAATTTAAAAGACTCTTTTTTAATTGAAGTCACACTCATTCGTCCTCAAGTAATTGTTCATGTTTGATTTGGTACATTACAAATCAAACAATATGTCTTAAACTTTTCTGGCTTTCATTTTTTTCTCCAAAAATACGTGGTACCAATTAAACTTCTATAATGTCTTTAAGTAAGAGCCATACGATTTTATATTCCAACCCATCATATGAGAAAAATCTAGTAGGATAACTTTTAAATTTCCTTGTTCCATATTTTATCAAATATCAATGAAAAGCATTTTTTTAGTTTATTTTTTCATCCTAAAAGTTAACAATTTTTTTTTTCAGTTTTGCACTAAAAAAATTTTCAATAGGAGACAGCTTACATGAAGATTTGCTTCAATCATTTTTTCAATCTGTGTTGCTTTCTCATTTGCAATCACTACAACCATTTCTACTTTTCCTAACTTCTAAGCTTTTGCCAGTTTCAGTTCAGCTTCTCTTTCTTGCAATAATCAAGAACTAACAACTTAAGTTCATGAGTTGTTACAAATTGATTTTCCAAATGGGATTTTATCATATAACATATATATTTAAGTACAAACATTTGATTCTTGCACAGAAAAAATTTCTGAACACGCTTGATTTATCTAGACCATTATTGTCTAGTCGTAAAACATCCTTGAAAAGAAGTCCCCAAGAAAATTGTAGCAACCAAATTGAAAGAAAATCTTACAATAACACCAATTCAGGCATTTAATTCAAAATTCATTGCCAAGTCAAAAACATTGGGGATTTAACAATTTAACATACTCTCTGTTATAAATGTTAACTCTTAATTGGTAGGACAGTTTCAACAAATTCTCAGTTAGCTTGCATTAGGAAATATGATTTAAATATACAAAATCTAATGAATCATGTCAAATCAAGAGATTCTTACTACTCCTAATTGTTCTAATGCTTTAGCTTTTTAGAGCCTAAGGTTAATGTCATCACTACCCGAAATGATATAACCGGCATCACAGCTATATTCACATAAAATACCCTAAAAGGAGAGGAAAAACAATTAAAAACAAAGAAAACATACTTAATAAGCTGAAAGATCCTTATTATCTAAATAATTGGAAACTGAACCTTTGCATTCTCTTTGTATGGTAGAATTTTCAATTGTGACCACCATTATTCTAGAAAATTCTAATTGTAGATAGAAGACACCAATAACATCATTGGTGAATAGAAACAATTTTCATAGAATTGAAAGAAAAAAGAAAAAAAGACAACTCACTATTCTATCATAAAATCTAGTTACAAAATTCCCAACCAAATGGTGAAAAATCAATACCCATTGGGAAAGGTGAGGAATTAATATTTTTGTAAAAATAGATTACTTAACCATAATAATCCTAAAAATAGGCCATACACTGTAGAAATTTGATCTTAGTGCACACATTTCACCTCGTTAATTTTTCTAGTATCATAACTGTAATAGTTGCAATCCTTATTTGCCTGCATTTAAAATAGTTTTTCAGAAAAGAGATTTCTTAAACAAATGTTTTATTCCTTTTTTCTTTCTTTTATTTTCTCTTACTTTTCTTCTTTCTATATATATATATATATATATATATATATATATATTGTGGGTGGGGGAGCAATGCTACAAAATTATTACCTACCGAGAAAAATTGGCAACAATCTTAAACATCCCAAAAGCTTATATAAGAAATTTGTTGAAACTATCTTACCAATTGAGAATCAACATTTATAACAAAAAATATGTTAAATTATTAATCCAGCAGTGATTGCAAATTTTCCTCTATATGACTTTACCATAATATTCAGACTAATAAGAAATGAAAATCAAATGACTAATTCCATCTAGGAATACAATATAAGTACCATGCTAAGATTAGGTTATGCATATTTT